CAGAACCACCATGACACCAGTGTTTTAGTGCTTGTTCACCTCTCAGCCGTTACCTTGTTAAACATTAAAAGCTTTTTGTTATGGTGATAACAACAACACAATCCACAGTAAAATAAAGGAGATCTAAAAGCTCCGGCAGCTTTTTTTAATGCTGCCAACTGCAGTGCGTCCCACAACTATTACATTACCACTAAAGGCTGTTCCCAACAACTGTATCTGTGCAGCTTTAGAGCATTTCTGATACATCTGAATTCCAAACACTCATTCGATGCCTTTCAGACAACAGTTTATACAAGCGTGGACAGATCAGATAAGAATGGATCGGGGAGAGGGAAGGAGGGAGGATTTAGGTGAAGAGAAAGTGACAACTCCTCTCACCCACACACTCAACCCCAGATGGTAGATCTTGCTGCTGATGGGGGCTTTGGCTGCCGTAGCTGCGGTTCTGCATGCTGGTATGGAGGAGAACGATGTGCTTCCCTCTCCACAGATGCATGTTTTCTGTGCAAGCATGCGTCTGTCAGCAACTGAGCTGCCAGAAACTTTCCCTTAACACCTGGACCAGGCTGAGGTTAGACCGTGTGTGTGTGTTACATGTATCAGTGAGGCAACAGCAACCTTCCGTGTCAAAATAAATGTTCCAGCGACCGACTTTAACCTGGTGGGATGGCCACCTGGCTGCCAGGTACTTTCTCCAATCACAGAGCCCGATTACTGACCTGAATACATCAGGAAGCTCTTTCTCGGCCTTGGATCCTACTGATCCAAAGATACTGAGGGTATCTTCTGTGCTAGACCAGTCAGGAGTAGCTCATAAATGTGAGATAGGGGAAAAATGTTTTATAAAATTAAAGCGTAGATTCTGTGTTAGACTGTCCATAGTGAAAACCGCTTTTCACCTGTTGTTCTCTGTTCCTGCTGATGTACAAGATCACTACGGGACTGTGACCTTCATGCTTCATTTTAGGGATTGTATGTTAAGGCTTCCACAGACTCTGTGCACAACTTTCCACCTGGGATGTTTTTTCACTCTGCAGGTGACCTCGATGCAGATTGAAAAGTAAAAATTTTACGTCTGGTGACAGTAAAGGTCACCGCACACTCAGCCGCACGTCCTGGCATACTCAATGCAAGTCGATTTTTATGACGCTGCATGCGTACTTGTTGTACAGTAAGCTGCTTGGCAGAAAACTGTGTTCAGGTAATCGGTACACCTCTCAACCATCCACCGATAGCACAGGGTCAGGGGTCAGAGAGGACGGCGCTTCACATAATGCCACTTTATTCCTAAACTATTAATGAAAGGTGAGGTTTAAAAAAAGAAAACAATGGTTAAACCTCCAATCCACTGACTTAACATCTTCTTTAAAACCACATTGTGTTCTGGGAGGAGGTAAAAAAAAAAAAAACATTGTGAAGCATCGTAGCTCGGCAAGTGGCGTCTCTCAGTTTTAGCCAGAAATACAGATTTATTTCCATGGTTACATAGACAAAAACACACAGAAGACCTCACATTGTAAACAGCTGAGCTGTCTGACCGGTGATTTACTGCCCAGCTCAGATAAAAAGTTAAAATCCTCAGCCTGCCTTTCATCACAAACTCAGTATCTGTGCAAATCATCATAAAATTGTCTCTTAAAAGAGGGTGTAGCACCCGAACCCTCAGCTACCTGCCAGCACAGTGTGTGTGTGTGAATTCAAACTGCGATCAAATGACTCTAAAGAACAGAAAGAAAACCAAAAAAACATTTACACTCATTCGTCAAACTCGATGAAGATCGACAGAGGCCAGGTGGCGTTGCTCTGCGGCCGAACGCAGAAGCATCTGTGTATGAGCACTAATATTTCAGCAAAGAGGAATGGCCTTCGTTCACGCTGTGCCATAATTAATGGCTGTCAGCGGCTCTTTAGTGGAAGGAGGCGCTGACAGACAGCACTCCAGAAACGCAGGGAATGCGTGAACGCCTCACAGGGGTGGATGAGGGAGCCGAGGGAGCCTCCCAGCTGGGCGAAACGGGTCACTGAGGCTGAGATGGGTCCAGGCCTCAGTGATATGGATCCAAGGACATCTATATAAAATGCAGGGGGGTGATCTTTATCTCTCAGCGTTACATCACAAACTGCTGTTTCTGTTCAAACAACCCATGAGGGCAAAAGACTGGAACGGTTGGACAAAAGGCCCGACGTTTTCTTTGTTTTAACGCCTCACCTGTCAGTAACAAATCCCTATGATCACATTGTATCATTATTAAACAATTCATTTGCATTTTAATGCATAATAAAATTAGAATTTGATTCGGTAGAAAAATAGAACTCAGTATTTAGTACAACTCTGTTTCTACCTTCAAGTGTCTGATGACGAGTTCAGATGTAATTAGAACAGATAATGATGGGAGGATAGAAGAGCTATGTGGCAGGAATGCATCACGTTTTTTGGCAACCATAATTAAGCTCTAGTCATAGGAGGATTTTGTTTAGTTTACAAATTTGTGTAATATATTTAGCATGAGGTGAGACGATGACTGAACTCTTGATAGACTGGATGTTTCAGAGGTCCATTGTCCTGCATGTTTTAGATGTTTCCCCACAGCTGAACAAGAGGATTGCATCCTCTCTGATGCAACCATTTGCATCAAGGAAGATGCAAATGATTGCATCAATTGAGGGGGGGAACAGCAGGGAAACTCTGAAAACATGCAGGACACACAACTAATAGTTGTCCTGTTAACATATTCTAACACTGCATGCAGCTTCTTTCCAGCCCCCGTAAAACATCCTTGACAACATTTGTAGTGAATTGGCAGGATAAAAATAAAGTTGGACAGACTAAGTCAGCCTTTTTTGATTTTGCTTTTAACATCATGTTGCACAAAGTATTTGATTCCTTTTTCTGTTTTTGTCACATTTACACAATTCAAATGACAAAAACAATAGCAATTACAAAATGCAATGTCAATTTGATTGAGGTGGTTAACTTGGTCAAGTTGGAGCTTTGAATGTCTGCATTATGGCCCAACCTGCCACTGTGTTGTTAGTGATTAGTACTGATTCTATGAAGCACTAAGAAACTGACTTCTCATACTAAATGTGTTACAAAACAAATTAAACCTTTATCTGTTAAAATCGGTTTCTCTTCTGTAGCAAAATGAAAACTTAGTGGGCACTGCCACCTTCTGGATGACATCAGCATGACAGGCTCATCAAAGCTGTAAGGAAGTCAGAAATAAAGGTATTGCTTACATCAATTATATATATATATATATATATATATATATATATATATATATATATATATATATATATAATTACACCTTTGACAAGGTTCAATCTCTGTAGAGCAGATTTAACATGATCGTAAATGTTCTAGAAATAACTTCTAGGACAGTAATGTGGTCCAGAAGCAAATAGTTCCTGACTCACGACAAATCTTTTTTTTTTAAAACTAATTTTCTTTCATGGATCCTCAACACAAAAGAAAGACAAGGGACCCATAGTAAAGGCAATTAAGGTATAAGTTTAATATTTCTGAAAAGAATGCATATACAAAGAACAAACTTTAGACAAAGCATTTGGTTCTGCACCAAAAACAACAACGGGTTATAATAATTATACTGACTTGGGCTGGAGATCAACCCAACTCTAATCCACCAGTAAAAAAGAAAAAAACAAAACAAAAGAAACCAGTCAGTCATTTAGGATCTTTTCCAAACAGTCACTCTGGCCAAGCTAAGCTCAGACGTTTTCTTGGTAAAACTGGGAGGTGAGAGTTCAGATGAGTTCCAACCCCTAAATGTGAAAGGAGTGAAAGTAACCTTTTTATATATTTATATATAATAATAATAATAACAATCATAAAAAAACAACACAAACAGAAATAACGAAGAAAAAAAGGTTTTGGTAAAAACACCTGGAGCCTACATCAACGTTGTGTGCCAGCTTACATTATAATTACATCTGTTAAACCTATCATATAGAACAGAGACCAAGGCTCAGCTACACACACCACCACCACACAGTTTGAATGGGCTAAAACACACACCTCATATATGAAGACTACAAGGAAGGCACCAAACTCTGACTCGGCAAAGAAATCTGGTGATCAGCTGTCTAAAACGCAACGCTCCGTTCATCAGGACGTCTGCTGCAGCACTTCAAAGTGTGTGGCGGTGATGATGTTCTAACGGCGTCCTGCCTTATCCTCCCTTGGTCCCTGGCGACGCATGAACAACACACCACTTGTTCTGCTAACACTGTTTAAAAGTTCTCTGCTTCTACAAAAAAAAAAAAGAAAAAAGAAAGAAAAGGCTGATTCCTGTAGAGCCGTTGGTGCTGGACGCCTTCGGCTCTTTGAGGGAAACGAGCCTCGTTCCAAAGGGACCAACAAATCAGCCCTGTGTGACTCCGGCCGATTCAGCGGCCACAGTTAAACATCCTCTAGTGGTTAGGCGTGTGTCCATTTGGAACGGGAGTTAAATATCCGGTGTTACTGAAGAGCAACGGGGTTTGGAGGAGGTTGGCAAATCAAATCAAAAGAAAAACAACACTACGTGTCTAGCGGTAGAGCTGAGAAAGAACAGAGGTGGTCAGATGATGACCACACTCACCGGTGGAGGTGGGGCAGTATGCTGACTCACATCTGACAGAATGAGTTCTGAGTGTGTGTGTGTGTGAGACTGGTTTCTGGCCAGTATAGCTTCATGTTGTGTGTGAAACTTGGAATTATTGCAGAGAATGGTTGGAAACCTGGTGGGCTGCTTTGGAGGACGACGATGCCAATCAGCCTCAGCAGAGCCAGGGAACACATGTAGGTATTTGGGGAGGATGTTGTACAGGTGTATGTGAGATGCATGTCTTTGTGTGCATGTGTGTGTGTGTGTGTGTGCTTTGAGAAAAGTAGGGACCTCTCATAAGAGCACACATTTGCGTTTCTTCTTAGGCTCTGGGGGCTCCAGTGCAGCCAATATCGCCTCATCAAACACATTCTTTAGGCCTTTCTGTGAACACAAACACACACAGGGGGTAAAGGAGCAGCACACACACACAGATGAAACTAAACAGAAAATATTAAACAGCAAAGCCGTGTCAAACTTCCTTTATAGTGCACGAGTCTTCACATACCTGCTGCTTATTTTACCACAAACGTTGAGATTTTAAGTGATAGACCAACATAAAGCAGAATGTTGATGTTGGCATGCAAAGAAAGTTCTGTCCAAATACTTGTTACTGTGTAGCAGGAATGCAAACACATAATAAAATGCAATGTTATTGCAATTAGTTAATTTATTGTTGAATGCGACATCGTCAATAATTAGTCACCGGTCAGTCAAGTGTCACTATTTAATAGTATTGCAATAAAGAAATGCCAGGACAATGATTTAAAAAGGACTCAGCACCACCAAGAGTGTTCAAAGAGTCCAGATGGGATCTGGTTCTCGTCAGAATGCTAGAAACACAATCAAAAAGTGTTTCAATGAAGTATGGGACACAACATTTTAGAATATATATACATATGGCTCAACTTGAATTTCAGGTATGCCTATGCATGGTTTGATTTTCTATTTTTAGCATTCAGATTTTTTTCTAATTAGAAATGATTTATGTCAGATGGACACATATTGCAGATTTGTGAATTAAATTGAATCAAAATCATCTTGTGACGTCAGATAAACATTTATGCCTTCTATGAAACACTGTGTGTGTGTGTGTGTGTGTGTGTGTGTGTGTGTGTGTGTGTGTGTGTGTGTGTGTGTGTGTGTGTGTGTGTGTGTGTGTGTGTGTGTGTGTGTGTGTGTGTGTGTGTGTGTGTGTGTGTGAAGGGAAAATAGGAGGCTGCTGCCATGTGGAAGTTGGTTGGCAGCGTTCAGGTGGATGAAGCTAAATATTCCAGAAGAAAAGCTGACAGAAGCATCAGCAGACTCCCTGTAAGACCACCCGAAACATTCAGCTGGAGCTGAAATGAAATGCTTGAGACCAAAGTCTATTTATTCATTAGAATAGCCCTGTCCAGGTCCAGTCAGAAATCATATTCAGAATCTGAGGAAACACTGGAAAACTTGAGTTGGCATCATTTTCAGTTGAGACAAATAAAGAGCTGTAGCTATAACCTGTACTCTGTCCCAGTTTGGTAAAATACAACTCACAACCATACTCTACTCTGATGGTCCATCACATAAAATCCTAATAAATGCATTTAAGTTTGTGGTTGTAATGGTATAAAAAGTTTTAAAGAATAATAATAATAATAAACAGGGGTTGCATATACTTTTGCAAGACACTAACTGAGCAAATGCAGGAAGTTTGGGGAAAAAGCAAAGAAAAATAATACAGACAGTTGCAAATCATTTGATCAACTCAGAAGTGTGGGAGAGGCGTGCTGATCTGACTGCTGCTAGGATCAGAGACAGTGAGACAAGCAAGTGGAGGAAACAGAATAACTCCTGAATCAGTGCAACAGGCTGAACAACTGAAAATACGACATTTAAAGAAAAAAAAGTGTTTTGTGTAGAAACAGTAGTGCTGAGCTTAGTGTGTGTTTGATCAGAAGCTCAGGCCTGTGAGGTTTGATCACCCAGAAAGAGCCAGAAAGAAGCTCCAGAGAACAAGTTCATTTATCCAAAATACTTTTCAATCTGCACACAACACTATCAGAAAACTAAGTGCTGAGTTTTCATGTTCTGTTCATGAAACCTTCATGTTCTTCATGTTCTGTTCATGAAACCTTCATGTTCTTCATGTTCTGTTCATGAAACCTTTAGGCTGAAACTGCAATATTGTGTTTTTGTGAAGCTTGGACATGTGGACATATTTTAGTTGATTATATTTCTCTTCCTGAACTACAAAAAAAGTGAAGGCAACATTCAAAACTTCTTTTTCCAGCCTTCCCATTTAATCAATAATATTAGGAAAAGATTTCCTAAACGATTCCAAGATTTCCAAATCCAGCTTGTTTCATAAGAGAGATTCAAAGTTTAGAAACGTTCCTGTTATCTGCTTAATGTCTGCATTCTCTCTGGAAGCCTGAGTGAACCACAGATAATTAAACTTCCTTACAGCAACACGCTTGCTTCGGTTTCATTATGAACATGTCACTGGCTATGTTTCCATCCAACTGTCAAGGAAATTTTGACCCAAGTTTTGAAATGCCGCAAAGAAAGAAAAAGATCATCTGAATTAGGTTTCTGTTTCTATTTATTTACGAATTTGGAGCGAACAAATCGAAACGTAAAGTTAAGTCACATGTTGACGTTCAAACAGGAAGTAGAAACTAGAATGGATCACACATCAGAAAAAATGCAGAGGTTTTCAGGAACGTGTTATCAGGTAAGTAGGACTTGTTCTGTTATGTCAGCTGGTTTTGGCGATGTAGAGAAAGAAACATTTCTAATGAGTCGAAGAGGAAACAGTTCATCGGTCAGGTGAGGTTTGCTACATCAGAACATTTCCTGTATATATCTCTTCATCTCCACTTCAGTGCATTAACTCTAATACTAACTTTTCAGAACAGCCAAAAACCACCTTAAGGGAGCAAGAAAACATTTTTTGCGGAATTGTGGAAGTTATTTAAAATTTTAACATTTAACCAATACTTTCAAATGCCTGAAAATGTTAAAACAGTATTGATGGAAATTTACTGATGGTGGAAAAAGTTAACGTAAGGTCTTCTTTTGCCAGCAACAACCTTCACACAAGAGTTTTGCTGTTGCTGTGACCTCTGAGTTCAGAACCGTCCCATCGCCAGCTGACTTCTCAGAACAACTCGGTTAGAAACAGAAAGCGTTGCTTCCTGTTCCATTCTGAGCCAACAAGTCGTCCTTCTGACCTTAATTAGAACCAACTGATGTAAAAGCTCAAGCTAACAAACAAGGAAAGGACCAACGTCAGCTCAACATGCCGACGAACAAACATTAACAACGCTGCACCATCTGAGAAAACATGATGAACAATGGAAGAGAGAGAAGGCGGGATGAGGAATGTAGAGAGGAGGTAACTAACGGCAACCAGAAGAGGAAGAGACGAGAGCCGTTGCCCAGAGAGATTAAAACACACAGCACTTCCTCTTTCTCTGAGTCTCAGGTGGCTCTAGGGCAGCTAGGATAGCTTCATCAAAAACATTCTTCAGTCCTCGCTACAATGACAGAAGAGGACAGAAAATAATTGTTAGTAACCAGGGCAACAGGATGGATGAGAGGATGAGAGGAACATGGCAGAGTGAGGAGGGAAGTGAATGAAAACAGTGGGAGGAAAGCTGTTGGGTCAGATGGAGAAGATGGAGGATCACATGCAGCTGGGTGAGGGCTGAGATTAGCAACAGGAAACAGGAAGTGACATTAGCAGCCATGTAAGCATTATGTCAAATAGAGGAGGAAGGAAGGAGTGGAGCACAGAGGTGGAGGCTACGCCTTGGCTTCATCAACACTATTGTTCTCTGGCCGTGTGAGGTCATGTGTGTTCCCTTCCTTCTGGAGTCCTGCAGTCCGGCCGGGACAGAGACAGCTCTCTGGACCTGCTGAATGTCCAATGAGGACACGCCTTATGATGTGTCCACTCTGCTGTACAGATCACTTCTAGAATAAACCAGTATTTCTGCCTCCCTGTTAGTGACATGTGATAACAAGAGAAACTAAGCAGTCAGAAAAGCAAAGATGTATTCAGAGGGGTCTTTATTTTTCTCACAACAAACAACCAAATTTAACTCTAGGTGTTTTAAAATTTGAAGCCATTTCTCCCACTAGGACTGGGCTTTGGCTGTATTTACCCAGAATGCCTTGTGCGGTAGTCCACTTCCAGCTTTTGGAGCAGTCTCCTACATGCTTAGCGTTCACATATGCATTCAAACCAGAGTTCGCGTTTTTTGTTCTGCATCAGATATCGATGCGGCCCTCAACAAATAATTTGGACTTTCTAAATTCAAGTTTTTTGACTTGCAGCCAAAATAGCAAACGTAATCTTTCCTCTTTCATCCATTTGTTCTCTGAGATTTTTTATTATTATTTTTAAATAGTTATGAGGCTGAAACTATACATTATTGATTTGTTGTCCAGCCCTACTTAATGAGGTCAGCATTTGACCTTTGTACCCTGGCATGCAGAACAAACCCATCCACTACAGCATGCAGCAGGCGGGGTGTGGGAGTGAACATGCTCCTCTTTCCTCCACTTTCTTTCTTCTTGCCTTTGATATTTCAGCTCAGCCAATCTAGCAGTGTGTGACGGTACATCAAGTGTGTTTCTGTGTAGAGGTTACCTGTGTGAGAGCTGAGCACTCCACATATTTAACTGCCTTGAGGTCTCTTGCCAGCTTCTCTGCCGTCTCTGGGGTGATGGGCTTCTGCTTGTTCTTGGCCAGCTTCTCTATAGTGGACGGGTCGTCCCTCAAGTCGATCTGCGTCCCGACTAGGAGGAAGGGCGTCTTTGGACAGTGGTGGGTAATTTCAGGAACCCACTGTGGAAACACACTCAGTGTTAACACAACAAGAAGCAAGGTTCTACAGCAAGACAATGATGACATATTGACACAAAGTGTTTATACTGTAGTTGTTGCTGAAAGGTGTCCAAAACATGATCTACTGTTTCTGACAAATGGTGGGATCAACTCCACCCATTCAACAATGGAAACCCCCTGTATTGCCCTCCGTCAGGGTGGGCAATACAGACTTTAAAGTCTTATCACGATACTTAGTAGTACAGTGATGATGTGTATGACTTATAACTAACTTAAAACTAACTATTCCAACAAAACAGACAGTTTTGGAGGAGTAAATAATAACTGGAATTTATGTGACAATGATTAATCAAAATTCTTAAAATAAGAAATTCAACACGTTAAATGTCCACACCTGCCATTGCATGTTGATTTATTTTCTTACTAATGAAGAAACTTTGTTGGAAAATAGGAACAAATAATAACACTCAAATTTCACCAATTATTCAATTTGTCTTTTATATTCCACTGGGTCTGGTTCTGATCCATGCTTGGGCCATTTGACTCTGATGACATATGACAGCAACCAAACTCAATTAATCACAAGCAGCCTCTAGCAAATATTAATTGGAGATATGTAACCAAAGTTTACATATCTGTGTACAGAAAATATAGATGGTAAATCTAAACTCTTGGTCGTCAAAGATGTCATGAAACATCCCGAAAATGCTTATGAATCATCTCATATTAAATATTAACCCATAGTAGATATTTTTTTGTCAACTCTACAAATGTGGGTGAACCGAATGCAGTGTCCTGGACACTGCACCATCTGAGAATACACTGATCTTTAAAAACCCTAATATGCCGATTCTGATTTTGGTCTATATCACTTTTTTCTGTCTGAAAAGTTGCTAAATATAGTAACAAAATTGCTGAGAATACACCTGAAAATGTATTCCAAACATTAAGTCTATATATATATATATATATATATATATATATATATATATATATATATATATATATATATATATATATATATATATATTATATATATATATATATATATAGTGGCTACAACAGATCCCAGGAACAACATCAGACATCTCAGTCCAGAAATGTGCAGTCCTTGGAACAGCCAAGATACTGCGCAGAACCCTCAAGCTCCCAGGCCTCTGGTAGAGGACCCGAGCTCAGAGGATAAGAACCACCCGCGGTGGGTGAGAAGGGAATTATTATATAAATTATATATATATATATATATATATATATATATATATATATTTAGATAGAAATAGTTACCTTTTCTTTGACATTTTCAAAGGAGGAAGGGGACACGACTGAAAAACAGACGAGGAAGACATCTGTCTGGGGATAACTCAAAGGACGTAACCTGTCGTAGTCTTCTTGACCTGCAACCAAAAAAAATAAACACATCCACTCACACTGGTAAAACTCATCAAACTAGACATTTACACAAGTCTGCTTGTGGATTTGTGGATGAGCTTTGAAAAAGCCCCTTTCCATTTTAAGCAGGTTTATTTATCTGGACTGCACGCTCAAATGTGATTCCCATTTGGTGGCTTCATATGTCATTTATTTCACATTAGAAAATGAAACACCGAGGCAAAACCAAAGTCATACCTGCTGTGTCAAACAATCCCAAAGTATAGGGTTCCCCACCGATCATTACAGTTACAGCATAATTGTCAAACACCTGGAACACACAAAATAAATCCTCGTTAGGCTCAATAAGACATTCAACTTGATATGGTTTGCTGATTCTATAAATAGAAGCTAAATATAAATATATACACCTGTTTGCACTTTTATATCACAATGAATGCAGATCTCAGTTAGAGATTTCTAAATCACACCTCAATAAAATACATTAATGTTTGGCACCAAAAAGATCAAGAAAACAACTTGGAAGAGGTCAGTAGTAACAAAGTGATTCCAGTGTTGCCTGGTGTGTCTGTTGGCATACATACCGTAGGTACATATTCGGAGGGAAACTTGTTTGTAGTGTAGGAGATGAGCAGGCAGGTTTTACCCACAGCACCGTCACCGACTACAACACACTTGATGGTCTGCATAGCTGTGGTTTACAGTCTATTCTACTCATTCAAGACCTGCAGAGAAAATCAGAAATCTTTAGATCAGACTGGATTAAAAAAAAAAAAAAGTTTTTGTTTTTTTGGAACTCAGAAATTTAACACAAAATCCAACAAAGTTGAAGTTTGTGTTCTAAAAGATACAAACTCCAACTCATATTGATCTCTCATGTATCACTTTGTATCTCCATTTGAATTGAATATAGATTTAAAATTAAAATTACTTCACCATCCAGTAATTCAATATCTTTTAATCCACTTAGAATTCTATTTAAAATTAAAGTACAGTGATTAACAAATTAACATTTAAATAAAAAGGAATAAAGCTTCAAACTAAGACCTTGTACACATATACACAATGTTTTTCCCAGGAACTTGGCCTAAAGAGTGGAGGGGTCGTTTTTAGAGGTGTACAGATTGATCAGCCAATTTCCTTCATTTTAGAAGATTGATAAATCGGTCGATGCTTACAAGTGAAACTGATCCTATCTACCAATCTTTTATACCACCATAAGGCTCTGAGAGAGGCCTACCTTTCACAATGGTCAGCTTACTGTTGCCAACTTTGCAACTTTTTTGCTATATTTAGTGCAGAAACAAGCAGGCCGAACTCCATCAGACTGGTGATCAGAAAACTGCAATCGGTGCACCCCAACTTTCTTTTACAAACACCAATAATAATAGTTACTCCTCCTGTTACTTGCATGAGAGCAAGCTGCTGCCATTAAAACAAAACTTTTAACCCTCCAGCAGTAATAAGCAACAGCTGCTGGCAAATGTTTTTTACTCTGTGCCTTTGGTGAAGTCGCACTAACCTCATTTGCGCTTTTACAAGGTTTTTTTGTACGGTTTCATAAAGTAATGGACTGACTGCTTCCCTGCTGTCCAATCATGACATTTGCCGTGTTCCTTCTGAGTGTTCCATTAAAATCGCAAGCGCTTAAAAAAAAACCGCAGATATAATGCCTCGCAACTGTCTTTCTTTGAAACGCCAAAAAGCAAAAAATAAATAAATTTCTTTCCCCACACGTCTTCTCCACAACATAATGCAGAACTGGATTGCTTCATAAGTGCAAAACATACAAACCATAAAATGAGCAGCTTTTACTTCTGAATTATCATTCAATAAATATCAGATAATGGAAACCGTTTTACTCCAGGTTCCATTATCCTGTTTTAACAGCTAGCAACAAAAACAGAAAGAAAAAAAAAATCCCTGCCCACATTTTGAGTCAGTTCAGATATGCTGAAACCTAAATGCAGGTCTGGCATCTGCTCCAATGTCTCAATGCAGCGACTGTGAAACAGCAAGATGGAAGCCAACTAAGCCTTATATAATCACTCGGTCAAAGGATCATTCGGTAGCGAACCACAGAATCTCTGTTTCTGCTTTACAAATTACAGCATGTCACCATTAAGCCGCAGCAGAGCTGAGCTCCACTGCAGCACTACGTGGGGGCAGGGAGCCACCCCAGAGCTTATCTGTCTCATGTTAGGACAACAAAAGTTTCAATACATATGTTTTCTAAGTTACATGCTGCAGGTTTAAGCAGATGTTCAATGTGAGAGTTCGCTGTCTGGTGGAGGTTGTACGTGAAACTGAACTGAACAGTATCGCATGGCAGCGGTCCAACAGCAAGAGCCCTATTATTTTAATTGTTTTTCGGGTTATTTGCACACTGGGCCTCTGCAGACTGCAAAGTACGAGATGCGGGTGATCGTTTTTTTGTGATCAGTAATGAGAGACAGTGTTCGCCGATCATGGTTGGTGGCTAATTGATCGGCATGCCTGTATGTGACAGAATAGCTTTCTACTTTATTTTTCTATTTTGATAATCTCACAGCAGCCCACACATGCTGTACTCACCAGCACATATTAATACATGAGCAACTTTTTAATGTGATGGAAAAAAGTCACATGGTAATGTGTATCCATTTATTCTTGGTACTGATAAACTAAGTTCAGCTATGAGGCTTTGCTTCAATAGATCCTCTGTGAATTCAAGCAAGAATATTAGCAGCTTATTCATAGATTTCTATTCATCTTAGGTGAGATCTTCTATTGACTAAGGCTCCATAGTGGGCTAATTGTCAGCCTTAATGCATGAAAACAGTGCATGCACATGGGGAACACTGAGTGGCATGCACTCAGTGTTCCCACTCAGTGATCCCCATACTCCATCTTTGGAGTATCCCTTCAGACTCCAAAGATGTTTATGTTGGCTTAATCAGTCAAAATATTGGTCTCTATTATATTTAATTTGTGAAAAAATGCTTTTTTTATTTTCCAGCTAGGGAAAGACATATTCACATCTAATTTTAATCAGACGAGCCTGCACCAGACAGTACTTTTTATGCTTGCTATGCTGATACAGTATTCTTACTGTAGGACAGGTTTTCCTCTATTCCTGTTGTGTAGTATTACACTAATACCAAGCAAAACCAACTAATTTATATCAAAGTAGACATTAGCCAGTTTTCTACAAGTAAAATTTAAATTCAGAATGTCTATGTGTGCACCATAAATTACAGCAAAACTAAATGTAGAAAATGCTTTGATTCAAAGAAAATGTAATCATGTTTTGCATATAAAAATACCTAAGACATTTCCATTAGTGAGTTTAATCACTGACCAGTGGTCATTGTGATCTGCTTTCCAATGACCAGGCACTACAAGTCACCTTAACACCAGAGGTGTGCCGATCGATTGGCCACAAATCATAAATGGTCAATTTCCGTGAAAAAGAGTATGATCAGTGATCGCCAATCACTGTCTCTTATTGCCGATCTCACAAACCAATCAAATATATCTGACTTCGCAGTCTGCCTGTGCACCTTATCTCCTCTTTCCTTCACACTGTGCAAGCATGCGGCAACAAATGTTAAACAATGTAGTGAAAAACTTTTAATGCTCAGCATCAATTTGTGTGTTGCGACAGAAAATTACCTTGTTGGTGAAGTATGTCCAAATGTATCAACATAACGAGTCTAATATGACATTTTAAAAACAAAGCACTTGACGTAGTTTAGCTACATCAAGGCTCAATGCAGGAAGAAAAATAAAAAGCAGCGCACAACTACCAACATTCACCCAGAAGAAAGTGATGGTCAGAAAGCAAAACAAATAACCAAAAAATTATTTAAAATTAAAAGAGCTACCGGTTACCGGTGTAAGACGCTGGTTCTGCTCTGACTCTTGGTCCACTGGTAGTAGATAATATAATACTTCACAGACGTAGCGCCGTTCAACCTACTGACAGTGAAACTCTTCCACCGAACGTCTGCTTAAAGCTGCAACATGTAACTTAAAACAACAACAAAAAAACTGGTTCAACATATTAAACATTTTGCCATGTCCTGACATGAGATAATTTATGAACAAACAAAAAATAACCAAGCTCCTCTGTCTCTTCCAGACAATCTGCAGAGCTACTCAGCTCAGTCAGAAACAACCAACCAGAACCAGCATTAATCAGCTAGCCAAGCTCTCAGAAAGTTTTGATTTAGTAACTAGGATTGTTTATTTTGATAGGCAGCTTTATTTGAGTCATGTATAATTTATGGTACAAAAAGCCTTAGTGTTAAATATTATTTTACTGTTTGTAGGTTTTTCATTTCTCTTTTTTACTGAATAGCTGTTGTATTGTGCCTGCAAATATTTTGCATGTTTATGTCTAATGCAAAAATTAGCAGCTAATTCATGTGATTTGCAATGATCACGTGGATTCGATTACGTGAAATCGGCCCTCATAGATGATCGGAATCAGCAGCAAAAAACCTGATCGGAGCATCCCTCCGATCAGGATTTTTTGACTCTAAATATGTCAACATTTTGCCTTTACTGAGTGACAGAAACCCAATTCTCTGGTTTTAGTGTCAAAGTGGTATTTCAAATGAAGTCAGAAAAAATACAGGAGCATAAAAACTTTTTAAAAGAAACCTGTTTTCTAAGGAGACTTTCTAGTCATTTATTCAGACTCTTGGTTAACCTGGCTAAGCAAAGCATGGAATCCATCGTGTTATGGAACATGACGGATTCATAAATGTTGGCAGCCTTAGAAAAAAATCTCAGAGTTAAGCTATGCTTTTACATTCTCCTTAGAAAACAATCAGACGGCCGTTGAAAAGCTAACCACACTGATCGCTCATATATTCTAAAGCCAGTTAAGAATGTGAACTCAAAATAATCTGTTTATATTTCAAACATAAAGAATGTCTATTTCACAACAGTGTAACGATGCCTGTGCTGATATATTTGATGGCTAATCACGTCTGGAAAGCTAGGGGAAAAAAACTATTTTGAATTCTATTTCATGTCTTATAATATAGATCATAAAGGGAGAATGTAACAGTTTACAAAGACAAACCTCAGAATCTGGCCTCAAAACTCTTATATAAAATACATTTTAAAACACAACAGACAATGTACAAGTGTCCCTCAGACACTTTTAAAGTATACCCCTAAAAAAAGTTGTATTTCATAAGACAGGTGAAATAGGATTTGACCCAAACAGTAGCAACTAAACTATCATCACAACTCAGTACTCAGCAAAAATGGGTTCTCAGTCATCTGATTTCTACGAATCTAAAACCACAACTCTAAAGAATAAATGTGCCTTTGGCATCAACAAAAACACCAGCAGCTCTAGGAAAGAAAACTATCATCTAGTCTCCATTTCCAAACAGAACCGTTATCTGACGTGTTCTCCGTGAGGCAAGTATTGAGGAAAAAATCTCAAAATCCGCCACACTCTAAATATGTCAAACTGTTCTAAAGCAGGCAAAGCCGATGGCAGTGGCTGACAGAGGGTGGCTGCAGTTGTAAACGCTTTTAGACTTAATCCTAGCATTGGTGTTAGTAGGCCAGTAGGCATTTTTAGGGCAGGCCTGTTAAACAGCGGGAAGGTTCATTCTGACATAGCAGTATTTCCCCAATACATGAAACTGAGAAAGAAAACCTGCCATAATATAAAAGCACGTCCGAGATTATAATAAAAATACGAAAAGCATCGTGTCGTAATTTGTACTTAAAAGGCAATCTGCTTTTTGTTCGATCAAAAAGCAGACTGCTGAACTAAAAATACGCAGTTTCATCGACTGCAATCGTAGCATTCAAAACGCCGCTTCACTTCTTATTCTAAATGCACCAGCATCAACTTCAAGAGGTTATATACGCCAACAACAGAATTTTAACATCTGGCCTGAAGTTCCAACGATGAAAGGACCTTAAGCTGGCAGCTACTAGCCTCAGCTGTTACACTCCGACCACATCCCGGCCTCTGTGGCCTATTTCCTGCCGGTTCTTTAAATCGCCATCTCGCGATGTATTTTCATATGAACAACAAGGAATGGTTGGTAACTTTCGGGTATCGAAATGTTAACCATTTTTCATGTTGGACCGTATCTTGTTTAAATATAAACATACGACTAAGGTTTGTTTTACCTCCGTAACCATCTCACCCATAGCTAACAACTAGAAAAGTATTGCTTTATTTTAAGCCAAGACACTAATACCTGTATAGCCTAAATGACAATATGTTATACAGTAAATAACTTGGAAGAACGAAAAGGATGACTTTACATTCCGGTCTAATAAAGTAGTCTGCCTACTTGCTTTGCTAGCTGACTGCTGTCCACCCGTTAGCTTGTAGGCTAACAAGTGCACCTAACTCTAGCGGATGCTGTTTCTGAATTGCAATAATTAGCAGCCATATTCCCGTTATAACAAACACCACATGCTACATAACGCCGGTTCACTAAAAAGACAACGAAAAATATTAAAAACATACCTTAATCACTATATGTGGGTATTTTTAATTTTTCGTACCGTATTCTCTATTTGGGTCTCAACACCGGGCGTTGGCAGCTCCACACTAAGGGCTTCCCAGTCAGTAAAGCAGGGACACGTCGAGTACGTACTGACTTTTTACGTCATTCCGTTCATTCATTTGAATAAGACAGCAAGAACAACATTTTCCCAACAAATGTTGCAGGGATGTGCCCGAAGAAGTGAGCGAATGTAAAATTAATGAAAAAATATATAAACACATATATAAAAAAATGTTTTTGTATATTTGTATTACGATTTGGTCATTAAACGATTAACCATTTGGCAAATAGCTTTAATTTCTGATACCATGACACAACTGCATTTAACTAAAAATCATTGCTCATTCAACTCAATGACCTATATGTGAGAAATCACAGATGTACAAATCTAGGAAAAAGAAAATTTTATTTTCAAAATGGGACCATGTGGTTGAAAGAAACAATTACAATATTCATGCCATACAAACAAAACAGAGACCATAAAAAAAGGAAAACATAATTCTAGAAAAGTCTAGAACTGTAGACACCTCCTCTTCTAGTTGGACACGCTCTGCAGCAGCGTAATGTTGTCTCCTTTCAACATGACCCTCCCTGGAAGACAAGGCAACAAATAAGGATTTAGAAAAGCCACATGGAGACAGATCAGATGCAAAATAGAAAACAAATAGTCTGTTTACTTTTTATGCACACTATGAAGAGCAGACATTGCCAAATGCTGCTATAGCCCAGATGTGCTAAGGAACACTAAAGCAAGTCTTCTGCCTGAGGCTTAGACTTTATAATAGTCTCTAGAGCTGCACATTTTAAATGTTAAATATATTTTTAGTAGTATTCTGAGTGACATATCTTCAAGACCATCACTGTTAATTGTCATTTACTGTTTTATATTATTAATTTCTGTTGCATGCTGTGCTGGGACAAACAAATCTCCCCACCCCATTCAGGGATCAATAAAATATTAACATGTGAATGAAAGTGGACGAGACAGCAGTTCAAAAGCAGGAAGAGGATTATAGAACAGGGCATTCTAGGTAAATACAACTGAAGCAAACATGAGTCTAATGCCAGCAGGAGAAATGGCTTGTGATCTTTATCTAAAACAAAAGCGAAATTCTACAACCGCCAAAATCCAACAGCACTCCATTTTGTTTTTACATTTTGTGAAGAAGGAAGTTATGCTCGGTGTCTTCTCTAGAAGTTTTTGTGTTGTTTCCTTCTGTGGTTCTTGGTAGATTTGGTTTTTTAAACAATTTGGTTGGCTCGACTGAGTGCTGTGTGGCAGAGAACCACAGCAGCTGAAAATGTAACAAATGCTGCCATTTTTGTCCCCAATCAAACCAAATCTTCCAGACTATCAGGTGTGAAAACACACCAAAGGGAAAAAGTTCAAGTGACAGGAATGTTTAGCAAAATGCTGTAGATCTATAATAGAGTTCCTCTTTCCCATTCTATGGCTACTCCTTATATTAATGTATGATATAAAAGCATTGAAAGGGACATCTATCACTACTAGGCTGATCCAGGTTTGGGTCTTTAAGTCATATTACCCAGTGGCTTTCTGTTCTTGGTCTTCATGTGGATTTCCTCAGCATCATCCAGAACCAGGTTCATGTACTCATCAAAGCCCTGAAATCAAACCAGGGACAAAGTTTAGCAGGGATTTAGCATTGCATAAAATCTATAATGTTACATCTGTTCTAAACAGTTATTATTAATTCTGTTTTTTAATAGGGTTCCAAGAATTGTGAAACTAACATCTAAACTTGCAGGTTTTTTTTTACTATGCTTGGTTATTATTGGTTAAAACTTATAAAAACATTTTACAAGTTGAATTTTGATAGAAATATTGAAGAACTTACAATAATGCATCCCTCTATCCGCATGTTGACCTGCTCATACAGCCACACCTGGATTCTGGAACGCTGGGAATGAGAGGGAAAACTGAATCAGGCTCTCTCAATCTCAAGTTTAATCTACTTGGGATTAAAAGAGATAGTGGGAACTACTTACATTCTGCAGGTATCTAAAAATGAGGTTCTGAAACATTAAGTCAAGGTAAGCAGACTGAAATTTATAGTATGTTTTTAGTCCAACTGAAAGAAAACTAGTTTTGTTGGTTCCAGTAGATAAAGCTATTGTCACACGGCTGCTTACAGCCTGCAACATGTTCCAGTTTCATCCATATTACACATGAGATGGCACGTTACTATGGATACAGCAGGCCATAAATCTAATTTATTATGGGCTGTCAGTTATTTACTTTAAACAGCCCCCTCACCCCCCCCCCCCAACCATTTAATTCACCTTTAATTTAATTTATTAGGGACAGTGGACATTAATTAACAATCAATACATCTGTACAGATTGTAAATGAGCCAGATTATAGCATAATTGCTCATTTTCATCTGTAGTCCCAAGACAGGAAGAACTTTAAAAGAACAGCTCAACTTTACATTTATTGCTTACTGCCACACATTCAAACAGAGACAAAAAATAGACATAGAGTTTTTTTCTGAAGTCTGGATGTTTGATGATTTTTATAATCGGAATTGGAGAAGCTTATTTAAGCTTGTTGGCTCCAATTGGAATACTCTTTTTCAACTAACATCAGGGGTGTCCAAACTTTTTGGGACAAAATTGTTCTGACAATTAAAAAATTAAATAAAAAGTCATTTTTTTTATTTTTTTGTTTTTACAGAATATGTGTTATTCACTGTAGATCTAAAACTTTAAAAGGATTTAGCAAATTTGCAGTTATAGAAGGCATCTAGTGTTTAGTTTTCTTTGGATTTATTTAACAGATTTACTTCCAGTAATAAGATCAGGAATGTGTCACTTTCTCCCTGATATTAAGTAAAGATTAAAAAATTCAAAACCAGTTCATTCAGGAGCAGCAAAATTGACTTTATAGTACAACTTTCTGGATTAATCTGGTTATACTTATTATAAAACCATGGCAATAAAAAGACTCATTTGATGTTCTACTTAACATTTTCCACTGTATGAAAATTGTACCAGTAATAATTGTAGCTTGATTACAAACAAATTAGCACCAGTACTAATTTGCATCATTTTTGAATTACATTCTCAAGTACTCCCGTTCAATGTAGAACGGGAATACTGTATTGTAAATCATCTGTTTTCTTATTGACTTTCCTGCTAAATTATGACTTTTATGAGATGCTTGAAAGCCATGCTAACTTTACCGCGGCAATGTCTTTCCCATTGTTGGGCTGTAAATTTGTCATTCAGTATCAGCTAGAAACAAACTTAGAAACGTTGTACCTGCCCGTAACACTCAATCCGAGAAGATTATTTTAAAAATGTACCAAAATACAAATTTACTAGCCAACAAGAACGTAGCTAAAAAGTAGCCTAGCAGCTAAGCCATCTTAGCACCTCATTGAACGGTGTACTGTCGGTATGTTCAAAAGGATACAATTGGCTGCACCATAACCTTCTGGACCTTCTGTCCTTGTCCTCTGTACGCCATTTCTCCAACAAAAAACCAACGAGATGAAAGCGTTAAAAAAAAAACAGCCCCTTTCTGGGTTCAGAGCGCCTTAACGTTCCACTCACGTTGCAAATCTGCTACAATGGCGCGTTTGCTTCCGCCTTCCGCGCCTGTATGAACGGATAGTGAAGTGAAACAGCGCCTCCAGAGGACGGAGGTCATAAATGTAGAAACTTTCTCATAATTTTTGGGAATATAGTGGCTTGAAATAACGTACAATAAACAAAAAACAAAGTCAATTACAATTTATCTTAGTCACCTGAAAGGTCTATTTTAGGCAAGACTTTTATGTTTCAAAAAAAAAAAAAAATATATATATATATATATATATATATATATATATATATATATTATATATATATTATATAATATATATATATATATATATATATATATATATATATTATATATATATATATATATATATATATACAGAATATATATATAACTTGTGAGTTAAAAATATTTAACTCACAAGTTAAATATTTCATCCCATTTATATTTGGAGTTATTTTTAACTCCAAATATAAATGGAGTTATATTTCATCACATTTATATTTGGAGTTATTTTGGTTCTTTATCTGTCTAGATGTCCTCTGCTTTGCTCCCCACTGCCTTTTAAGAAAACTTTAGGTGAAATATAAGTGAAGTTCCTTTTCAGAACATTAAAATATTTTCTATTTCTGAGTAATATGCAGTTACGATATACAATTTCGTCACAGCTTTTCACCTTTTTCACATTTTGCTGTTTCAGCCTTATTTGAAATTGTCTTAAATTAATTTCTTTCTGCAAAATTCCCCACACCATTTATAATAATATGGAAAAAGATTTTGAGTTTAATAGTATACTAAGAAGAAATTATTTAACTGTCTCGTGACATGCTAACAACTCAATCTTTCAGGCAGCTGAGAAGTTAATACACAATTAACTGAATGAAACTATGAGCTGTTGACTAGAACCACCTCATTTGAAACCTATAATGTATTTTTACAACTAATTTTAAATACTAAAAGAGGAGTTGTTCCTTCCATCCAATAATGTTTTTGTATGATTATTTCATATGTTTTGAAGTAACTGTCAAAACACTTTGAAAGCATCAGAAAGACCAGAGAGTCGTTCATAAACATTTTATTTTTATATAAAGTACTAGGAAAAAAATCCTCCTACTTCAATGCAAATTAATATGAAGTTCTCGTTTCTTCTTTAGTGAAAGTAATGACATACTTTTTCCACCAGAGGGCGGTATTCGAAAAGTAATCTATTTACCCCAGGCTCGCAATCACGAGCTGACTCCACAGAACTGTTGTTGAGTTGGATTGTTCCGTAATATCTTTGTTTGAACACAAATTAATACATGAATAGTTTTTTTTCCCCACTGCTTTACCTGCATAGATCGAGAGCGACTCTCTTATTGCTAAATTCAAGTCCTTTAAATCTTTAGGCTTTACAAACTCATGAGCTTTAATTATTGCTGGGCTTCTGGACCATTAGAATTACAGCTAAATTGTCAAATGTTAAACATTTCTATCACTAC